GGGCATTCCCTCTTCGCCATTCCTGCCTCCCACCTCCTTTCTGCTTCTCTATTCCAGTGATGAGGGCCATATAAGTACCTAGCGACTAAATGAACTCAACACGGACCTAGTAAACACCTGCACTGTATCTGAAGAGAACGCTTCGCCCAGTGCCAAGCGCTTGTAATGATTCCAGTCCATTTGTGCCAAATTGTGTGTCTTGTCTGCGATGGAGATGTGGGGGTCTCTCTGTTCAATGTTCTATCGGTAACAAATGCAGCCTTAATACTATCCTACCAGAGGAGTTAGTAGAATGTCACTCTCTTCTCCAAAGCCATGGAGATATATATTTTTTTTTCTATTACATTTTGTGTTCACAACTTGAATAAAGTAGAAAGCTCTTCTGAACAAAGCCTGAACCTGAAAAGCCAGCACACATCCCTACCAGGGTGCAAATGTGAGTGCAGGTACAAGCGCACTCGGGTGTGTGTTCAGTAGTTGACTACACTATTCCGCAGTATTGGTCCCGGACCTTGCAGCTCCAGCCACGTACATTACTGCTGCATTGGCAACCGCTGGTGTGCCATGCATTTGCCGACAGACACCGGCAGCTGTCCGCAGCACGGTTGTTTGCAGTGGTCTGGCTGGCCAGGATGCATTCTGGCTCTCGGGGGAGCACTATACAGGATGCCTGGTCAGGTGCTTTGTTCCACTCTTGCTACTATTGTAGAACCCAGGGGTTCCTTTTGAAGCTTGTCGGGGTGGAGGGTGTTAGTATTGCACTTGAGATTGGATGGTAGAGCAAGTCTTTCTCTTGCCATTTTCAAGGCCAAACTGGTGCTCTTTGGTGAGAGCATCCACAATAAACCAAAGTTTCCTGTTTAACAAGTCTCTCTTGGTTGCTGTGTGTGGGCCAGTGGCATCCCGTGTCTGTGTGAAGCCTTTGCTCACTGGATGTAAACTCCCCCTCGCCTGCCTTTCAGGTGAGCAAAACCATCCGGAGTGAAGTCCTGGGTGCCAGGGCCCAGTCCCCACAAGCCTGTGTCACTGATGTGGTTGAGTACATAGAAACTGCCCCACCGTTGCCTTCAGGTCACTTGCTGAGGCCGTTTTAGCCCTTGTGCGGTGCAGCCTGGTTTACAGTACACAAATAGCCATGTGCTTCCCCTTTGGTTGTAGGGTATTTGCCCTATTGCTGCCTTGACCCCATGTGGTGGCAAAGAGGTCAGGAGTTCCCACCCAGCCCACTCCTCTGCTGGCCAGGCAGTGAGATCTGGGGTCTGACGCTCGGTATGTGCCACAGGGGAAGGTCCTGAAGAGACTAATCACTACAGCACACCCTTCCTTGGGCTCCATAGAAATGTCCGAGGGCTTGACCTGGGGAGCAGTCGGTTTCCTTGACTGGTGACAGCCTTGGCCTCAAGCCAGGCTGGGTTGGCTCTTCATACCTGCTGAGTTCAATGTTGGGAGCAAGATCTGTGCCTTAATCGAAAAATAATGCAGGGAAAATGGTGCGGGGAAGGGCTGCTGAGTTGGGGAGGGATAGGGAGACATCTAGGCAGGGCTTTTCCCATGGGGGGGCTAGTTGGGATCCGATCCTCTGGGCCCAGTATGTTCGTATATTGTTTCTTATTTGTTGACATCAGTCCCCAAAGGGAACTGCCTCCTTTGACATGGCCAGAGGGAGGCCAGCTGCTACTGTGCTCCCTGTAGGGACAGTATCAGCTTCTCTGTCCTTCAGCCTGTGGCTGTAAGTCAGTGTGGGGATGCGGGCTGATGTGGGGGTGAGCAGCACAGCTCAGGAGGAAGCTGAGCATGTCCTCTGGGTGGTTGGTTGGTTGGTTTGCTTTGTATCTTGGATGCTCTCTAATAGCACAGGAGCGCAGTGCTGGTAGATTTAAATGGGGGCTTGTGTCGGGTCACAATTCAGAATGCAGCAGGATCCTCTTCACAAGACCAGGCCCTGTTGGGGATGGAGACATGTCCTTTGGGGGGTCAGCTCCATATACCATGGCCCCTTGCTGGGCAGTGATCCTCCCTTGTATTTCAGGAATTGCTTTGAGCACTAGCAGGATGGGTAACTGGGCCAAAGGGTAATGCCTTCAGCAGTTGGGAGCAGGGAGCAAAGGATAGCAGGGGGGTTGCTCCCAGCTTTCCTGTCCTTCCCAGAGATGTAAATCGTCTCCAGGACAGTGATGGAATAGGAGGCTGCCAGCACTTCAGCAGCCCCCAGCTGGAAAAGAGAGGGAAGGATGATCTACCACAGGATCGGGAATGGCAGCATGTTCTGAGGAGGTGAACAGGGAGGATGGGGGAGGAATCCTCACGTTGGTTTAAGCCCAGTCCAGACCATTCAGTGTGAAGCCTTGGGCTTCCCACCTCTGCCTCATGCAATTTCTTGCACTGCTCTGAAGAGCTTGGTACTAGGGGAGGCCCCAAGATGGGGCAGACTATGGGCTGGCTATGATGCCCCTGTGCATGCGCTTGTACAAAAGAGCTGTCTCTGACCTAGTACTGAATCCAGTGATGCCCTAACATACCATAGGCCCCAAACTACTACAGACAATGCCATGTCCTTTGAGTGCTGCTTCTGACCTGTCAAAAGTCACTGATCTCAGCCTTTGGGCTCTACTTACTATGAGGATCACTTCTGCTTTTTACCAGGAGAGGAGCTATAGGCTGTGGACTGCCAATTGTTCCCAGATGCTGCCTTTACAGACTGAGTGAAGACAAAGGCTAAGAAGGCTTGTGGAGAATCTTTTCCTCCAGTTGCAGCAGGTCCCATTTTACTGGGTGGGAAAGCCCAGACCTATTAACTTTTTTTTTCTTTTGGGGCAGGTAGGAGGGGCTGACCCAGCTCTATCAGTGTTATGCCAATGGCAGCCTTCAGCAGTCAAATGAGAGCCCCCATGATCCTGATCATGCTTGCTCTGCTGTAAACCGGAGAGCAAAGCCCATGATGTGAAGAGCAGCAATGGTCGTGGAGAATGAAAGGAAGGCTGCCCAGGTGACTCGATTCCAGTGTGGGAGGTTGCAGGCTCATTTCTAGAGCCCCTGTAAGGTGCAGAGGGAGATACTAAGGTGTAGATGCTATTTCCATTTTCAAACCTTCAGAAAACGGCCCCGTGTGCTGGGAGCTGGGCTCCAAAATACCGAGGCCCTTGAATGGAAGCTGCCATTCAGCAATGATGCAACTGGTTCAGTGCCAGACAGCATGTCAGGGATGGAAGCAGGGAATCCTTGGCCCCCAGCCTGCTGCTCAGTCTCTTGGGCCACAAAACTTCCGACAGTACAATGCCCAGGAACCAAGAGGTCAGCGACTAGAGACCACGGGGCCTCTAGGAGAAAGCAGAAGGAGCTTGTACAGGTGAGGTTGAGTTGTTTAATTACTTGCTTCAGTGCTGAAAAGGGAGTGGGAGCTGGTGCCAGAAAAGACCCCCTCATTTCTCTGGGGAACAAGTAGCTTTTGGTGCTGCTGGATCGATGTATTCTTCTTCCCTCCCCACAGCCAGCGCTCCCTTTGCTAGCAGGGGCTGCATCAGGCCTGTGTGCTATGATGAGGGGCAACGCTTGTTAGGGTGGCTCGGTCCTCCTGGGAGCTGAAGGGGCAGGAGCCTAGCGAAGAGGAGTGGATGCTGCTGTTCTTTTATACGTTGCCAGAGCCTTCCAGCACCTCCATTCTGCATAAAGGTGTTTTGGTTTCTATTAAAGGTTCCTCGGTGTGGGTGGGTATTTTAGTCCTGGAACTGAGGGCAGTGATGCTGGCAAGGATCAAGGGTGAAGGCTTTAACCAAAATCCTTTGCTGGGAGTTTTCCTCATTTCACCATGGTTCAGATGATGCTCGCAGCATGAGAGCTACTGCTCAGGGTCCTCTCCCTCAACACTGCCAGTGACCTGCAGCATCTGTCCCCACAGTCATCCTACAACTGGGCTAATCCAGTGCAGTCTTCACCTGCATGTAGCCAGCAGCTGCATTAGCTTTGGACTGATGGACCTTGTCTGAACTAGGCCTTGTTACCAGAACTGCTGCTGGAGATGCAGCTATGCCAACAAGGGTGCGCTTTTTGGCATGTTAGCTCAGCTCCATGACGCTCAGCCAGGCTAACGGCACCCTGGGGCCCATGGGAGTCTTTTGCAGCATTACCACTGTGAGGTGTGCCAGCACCTGTGCAGGATTCTCAAGAATAAACCCAGAGATTTCAAAAACGAATCCATAGCGTTAAAAACATCCTGCCCTGGTTTGAGTTTTCTGAGCAACAGAAGAATTGCTCTGCTGGTTTTCTCATAGTCAAATGAGTGAAAGCTAAGAGCTGGCATTTTCTGAGGGTGCCTTGAGTCTAGGAAGGTCAAGCGCCACGGTTTTAGCTCATGCCCGTGGGGCGAGGTAGGGCGGACAGTCAGAAAGCTCCTGACAGCCTATTCGGCATCTCCACAAGAGGGCTGTGTTGGCACGGCTATGTCAGGGCAGAGGGAACAGCAGCGGCTCTTTTCGGCTGACGGCCGCAGCCTAGCCAAGCCTTCGTAGCAGGTTTAAGAGCAGGGCTCTGCTATAACCTGGATTAGGGGATTGTCAGTTAACACCCTTGTAGATGCTGGGCTAGGCACTTTTCTTGGTGTCCCATGTGAGCTGTACCTCAGGCTCAGCCAAGCACTGTCGAAGGGCTCTTGAAATGCCTGGACCTGTCGCCTTTAGCATTTCACAGTGAAACAGCACAAGGGTGACTTGGGCCAGTGCTTTTCATCTGTCACCCCTGTAGCAGGCTTGATGTGAATGATTTCTGCCACTGGTGCATCGGGGAAGAAACTTGTGCAGCACAGGATCTTCAAGACACTCACTCTCCTGAGCACGGGCATCCTCAGAGACTTATAAAAGATGGAAAGAGGAGCAGAAAGGTGATGTGGCCAGTGAAGAGGCTAGAGAAAGCACTCTCAGAGGAGGGGATGCTGGTCCCCTGAGTTGTCCTTTTCTGCGTGGTTGTCACCCTCCTCTCTGTGACTTCTTCAGCACTGATTTTTCTCTTTACTCCCAGATGGCTGAGCTGTGCCTGGTGTAGTACTGACCCTGGTAGCCCCCTACTCAAAGCTGCCCCCCACTCAGCAAGGAATCCCTGCTGTCAGGCCTGTCAGCTAGGTCTTCATCCATTTGGCCCCTGTTCTGTGGATATTGCATGGCACTTATTTTTCCATCAGTGTCCAAAGTTTACATCAGATGCTGTACAGAAGACTAAGCATGTTAGAGCTCCTCAGTTACCTGTACCAACACAACCTGAACCCTGCAGAGTGAGATGGAGCTCAGATTTGGTTGCCAAATTACTATATTTCACATTCACATATTTCACAATGTTGCGTGAACGCTTCAAACTCGGAATAGTCAGGTTTGAGTGCCTAATGATGTCTCCAAAATCCACATGAAAGCACTTCTGTGAGTGTGGCCTGACTTTTTCTAGGATGCCAAGCACACACAAGCCCTGCTGGAGTCGATGTAGAGTCACAGATATTTCACTCGGGCAGTGGGCTCAGGACAAAATGATGGTGAGGCTGATTTATTTTCAGCCACTGAACATTTCCCTCCATTTGATTATTTCGCTGCTTGTTT